CTTTATTTGGTCCAATCTCAAATGCCCTTAGTTAGTTAGTCGAAGCAAGATTTTAAAAGTGTAATGTTCCTATGCAGCACAGGGTATAATGCTTACGCCATCAATACTAGGTAGCAGTATGTGAAATATGCATGCATGTGCAAGTAGAGCTGCATTCATACATAACATTAACACAAGCACAGACGCTCTGTGCATTCCCACTGTCGATGCAACTGTATTTCACCTGATGGATTTGTATTCCACCCACATGCCTTCAAACACACACACACACACACACACACACACACACACACACACACACACACACACACACACACACACACACACACACACACACACACACACACACACACACACAGATATATTCAGTTTCATTTCAATCTAAGTGGATTTTTCTGCAACTGTTCAAAAGTATTTAATCATCAAAAATATTTGCAAATGTGCCAAATAATCACTGAATAATTTGTTCAGTCATGTAGTGTGAGGCAACCCTCTATATCTGCATTGTAAATGCCCACAGTGGTTCGCTTTAACCTATATATGTGAGCATGAGTGCACACGGTGAGTAATAATCTGTCGGCTATCATCACTGTCGAATCCCTCCGAGATCACACACATGTTCAGGAGGGATGAGAGACACAGCTGCTGGAGAGACAGAGGAGGCTGTGGATTACTCAGGGTTACCCACTGCTGTGTGTGTGTGTGTGTGTGTGTGTGTGTGTGTGTGTGTGTGTGTGTGTGTGTGTGTGTGTGTGTGTGTGTGTGTGTGTGTGTGTGTGTGTGTGTGTGTGTGTCAGCCTTTGTGAGGACGAAATACAAAATACTTATATCTGCCAATTCTTTCTGCGTGTCTGTCCGTGTGTAAGACTTGACCTGTTAGAGTAATGTGCATTCTCCCACCCCATCGCTATCCATCCATCAGTGATATTTACTGCATGACGCTTCTGATAAACACCTGATGAGATGAAATATTGATTTCCCTAGCACACTCTCCACTCTCACACACTCTCACACCTATACACACACAGTGCCTCCCGCCTAATAAAAGCAACCCACAACCTATTTCACAGCCTCGCTGTAGTTTACGGTCATAGGTATGCAGTTAAAATGATTTGTTTGTGGCAACGTCTCTAATTCAACAGCGCTTTATTCCTGTGTCCAGTACCTCTCATAAATCAGACAGATGGAGATACATTAGGAGATGCGTTTAACAGGTGGCTGTTGTTGACAAATCAAACAGAATGTACCCACATGTGTGTTTTTGTTGTGGATTTGGAAAGGATTTTGGATGTGCTGCCCAACATATTTCCTCTGGGAGTACAGACTGCCAGAGTCACTGCTGCGAGCCATTCGGTCCCTCTGTGTAAGAGTTGTGTTCCCCATGAAAGAAAGTGCATTTAAGGTCAGCTGATCTTCCTCTCCTGTCCTGTAGCATTCTGAGAGTTTAAAGGTGCAGCTTAAGTCTGGAGGGAGTCTGGTTCACTGACATGAAGGTGTTATCTGCTCTTTGCTGATGACACTGTCCTTGTGGCTTCTGCTAACTGTGATCACTGATGTGCACTGAAGCGGTCTGTCGGCCGTGTGCTGCGGGTCACTTCAGATTATTTTAGTGCTTGAGTAGGAAGCTCCCTGGGCACCTCTCTTTGTAGATGCTTTGCTCAGGCTGATCCAGGACATGCTGGCCTGGAGGCACCTGGGAGAAAGACATCGGCCTTCTCTGCTAATAGTGTTATCACCGATACCTGGCTAGAAAAGCAGATAGAAATCGGAATTGAAACGATGCACCTTATTATTTCACATTCTCATCAACAACACTTACAATAGAGACAAATGCAATGCAGAGTTGTGTGTTGCACATAAAATCTGCACATTTAAAGGTGACCTATCATGCAAAATGCACTTTTGCACGTCTTGTATAAATGAATATGTGTCCCCGGTGTTCCAGGGAACTCACCAAGTGTCAGAAAACACAACCCTCTCTATTTTCCTCCATACCCAAATCTCTTAAAAAGGGGCTGCAACGGATCTGATACAGACTGATCCAGATTTGAACACTTCTCTGACGTCACAGAAGTGGCGCTACGGCTATTGGGCCAACTCCACCAATCAGGAGGAGACAGCCACGGACATTGCCGTTGGAAAGCGCTGCAGACGCTGTAGTACATATGCCAGGCATGTAGATGGTGCTGTTCTCACAGAATCAGCCCATGATGCAAAGACAGTGTTAAATTGAGCGAAATGAGGAATGGCTAAAATGCATGATCTGTTTGGTATTTTGAAAAATAAAAAGTGTAAATATGCCTTATATAGGTATGGTCCTACACTATATTATTCACATATAGCATGATAGGTCCATTTTAAGTGTCATTATTTTCAGAGATGAGATGCAAACCTCAGGCTTTCCACCTCTCACTTCTTCCGTCTGACTTTCCCGTCAGAGAAGCCTTGTTGCTTTCTGCTTTGTGACTGAACTCGGCTCGACAATCAACCGATGCTGCCCTTTATCTGGGCGAGGACACTTCATCATGTGCAACCCTCCCTTTAACTCAACTACTATCATCAAGAAGCTCTTGATCTGAGCGCACACACCCAGCTCCAATCACCTGACAGTGAAGAGTGTTGTTGAAATATAAAACCCAGTCTCCGGATAAAACGCTTTTATAGTGAAGCATCATTTTCTAAGATTGCAAAACATAGTATAGTGCCACCCTTCTGTACCCTATAAAAACAAAATGTCAAAAGACAAAGGAAGAACACAATACAGGATTGAAATAAAGCAGCAACAATAACGGTACGTCCACACAGCAGCTTTAAAAAATCTTCCAACGCTTCTCTGCCCATTGACTTTGAATGGGGTGACGTCACTTTGCCTCGCTTTTCGCCGAACTGCATTGTGGGGAAGCAAAGCGAAGATTTCCAGGATTTTCAGGATTCAAAAGTTGAGCAATTTTCCATTTTTGAAGCTGAGCTGGAAGCGTCAGCCGATCAAATCCCGTTTATGCAAATCTGACAGTACAAGCGCTAGCCAATCAAACCGCGTGTAAACTGGGAGAGACACACCGCAATTCATTTCCT